GGGGGGGGGGGGGGGGGGTAGGTCTGTGGACAAAGCTGTTTGCGGCCTACCCACTACGAACCCTCCGGTCCAAGATTTCGGTGATGTTGCCGATGGCGGCGAGGTCGCCCTCAACAATACAGTTGACCTTGGAAGCCCGTTCTGGGGCATGCAGGGTGCGCACATCGAGGCTGCGAATCGTGCGAGATCCCGAACACATCTGTAACAAGGCTTAACTGCCACTCCTTCATGCTGCGTCACGGCACGTCCATTTTCATCTTGCTCGAGCCTGGCCAGTCATGATTCATAGGGGCCCCGGCAAGCCCCTTGCACTTCTCCACCGCCGCTGGGGCACCAACCTCGGGTTTACCAAATCTGGATCTGTTGCTGCTTCATCCGTGGATATGGGCCTGCCTGCACATGAAATCCATGTGCTGCGTGCTAGAAACAGATATGAATGCATTGGAAATGTTTGGAGGCAGCAACCAGCTCCCAGAATCGCGGGAAAGACAGTGCAGAAAACCCGTAAAGACCTGTGGGAAACAAAGTACTGAACTGACAACGGACGGATGAAGCTGCTTTCCAACTGCTCAGGCATGAATATGCACAATTCTTGTAGTGAAGAAGGCACCACATTTGCCAGGTGACTCGAAACATTGCTGTTCTGCCCATGCAACGGAAAATGAAGGAATATGCAAGAGGGCAGCCTACCAAAACAAGCACAGCAACGAACATGCACACGTTTGACCATGCAAGTGGTGCTGCAGTCCGTTTGCTTTAAGTCCTTGCTCTATACAAGAAACTGGCCCAACAAACCATTTCCAGACAACGCCAACAAGGCAGTCGACTTTGGGCGGGTATAGGGTCCGCGCAATTTCAACGTTTGCTGGATCATTCCGGTCCAGAACGCCAACTTTCACGACGCCGGTCTGAGATTTCAGGGCCTTGATGTTCCTGCCGCCAGGAGAAACAAAGGCCACCCGCAACACCCCGAAAAATGAAGGAATCCAGGCCTTCCCTGCACGCCGAGCAAGTCTTTGACCTCAGCCCCAGGCAGGAAACCCCCAAGATTCAGGGTGAGTCTAGAGATTACCTGAGTCCCCCGCCCGGCCAGCAGGTACTTGAACATGAGCCGTGATGTCGCCAGCAGCTGCTTCCTCTCCTGTCACAAGAAATCGCCTGCAAATCTCAGATCCCACTACCGCCACCAAGAACTGCTGAATGCCTCCAGCCATTGCCATTCCGGGTATGCCAGGTGCCATAGCCTAACGAGAGGAGGACTTGCCTGTTGCGTGTATGCAAGCGGCAGGGTCCCTCACCGGCTGCGCGGCCAGAAGCCTGCCATGAAGGTGACATTCAGATGCTAGAATGCAGAGAAAGCAAAGCGTGGCAGTGGGCGAGGCAGCGATGTTGGCTCCGGCAGCTTGGGCCTGCAACAGCTACAACACGCAGCTGTGAGAAGCTCAGATACCTGGCAGCCAGGCCTGCATGAGGGCAGAGAGCGTCTTTGGTGCCGGCGCCGGTACGGCCACCGGCACAGGTGCCGGTACAGGTGGCAAGGCAACCGATGGTATGAGAGCCGGGACCACCACTGGAACAGGAGCAGCCTCGGCCTACAGCGTGTGCCGGTGCGTATTCACTCATCAGGGCGGTAGTTTGCTTCGTGCCAGGACATGCGAACTGAGCATCCGACGGGTGGCTTGTCCCAGAGCCTGACAATCAGGTGTTCGAGGTTCCGACCATCGTACTTGCGCGAGCGCACAAGCAATGTCCCGGCAAACTCGATTCCAACAACGAGACTTGCAATATCGCTCAGCTCCAACATGCTGATGGAAGAAGCATGCGCGGACTTCGTCGCATGACAACCTTCACCGATAGAGCCCACATCGTGAATCTCAAACCTTTAATTGCCCAAAAAGCAACATCCCAAAACTAAACTTCCTGCAATCCTAGATCTCGAAGCAACCCAAGCTCCGCAACCACGGAATGCCAAGATGAAATTCCATCCACACGACATTAATCGTACATCCTTTAGCTGCAGCTGCTTAACCAGCCAGAACGGCTCTGCAAAAGCTCTACTTCAGGGCCTGTCCATCCAGTAAAGAAGCAGAACCTCCCTCTGTCAGGATAAAACATTAGATGATTACTTTGTTCCCACTACTTACGACGACTGCTACTGCCACTGCCACTGCTGCTGTTGCCGCCACTACTATTATCACTCACCACCACCACCACCACCACCACTGCCGCCACCAC